AGCTGGCCGTATATTTTTTAATATTTTTAAAAAATTTGGAGACTTAAAAAACATTCCAAAAATTCAAAAAAAATGTAAAACTATATTACTTTTCAATAAAATTAACTGAATTAAGTTTGAATACAAGTTTATTTTAAGCTTTTATATGAATTTCTTTCAGACATTCGAAGTAATTTATTAAGCAGCCTATTTCTTTTAATTTCTGCAAACTTTTTTTATGCGGTTTTAAGTTAATTTTAATTCGTTGTTTTGGTTTTATGCGATTTTAGAAAATTACGGAATGTATCCCTACTTTTTCAAGGCAAGTAAAGTCTTTTTTTATGCGAATTTTTTTTTATGCGCTTTTCTGTAGAATGTATCCACCGCATAAAACGAGACCTTACAGTATTATATTTATTCATAAATAGAATTTTATTTATGAATAAATAGAATTTATTCATAAATAAAATTTTGAACACCATATTTGCTCTGGTTGCCATATGATAACTTGGTTTCCAAACAAGCTACCAGTAGAGTCAGTCACCGATGATCAACTTCCTGTACTTCCTATGTTAAAAAAAGTTGATGGCCCAGTCAATCAACGACAAAATTACCAATTCAGTAGTGGAGCAGAGATTCACCTCACATCATTAGACATCACAACCCTAATCATCGGTGACATTGTTAATCAAATTAGATTTCAATGTGTGTAATATACTACTTCCAGTTTTTGTTACATGCCACAATTAAATTTAAATCAAATTAATTAATAAAAACCATGTTAATTGAAATTTGCATAAGTGACATCCATGAATCTGTGTTTAAAGGTGCTTAACTCAAATTAAATAACAAAAATTTATAAATATAATAATATATTGCATTTGTAGGCATTTTTATGCATGAAATACAGCTGAAAAGGTAAAAAAAGTTTAGTTTTGGTGGTTGGAAATGGATTAATCCATTTTACATTGTTTCCTATGGGAAAANTGCGCTTTTCTGTAGAACGTATCCACAGCATAAAACGAGACCTTACAGTATAGATGTAAAGTGACTTACACCACTCTCATTTTCAGTAACTCAAATAAGATTCATAGGTCTGATAATTAGTTCAATATTTAAAAGTCATTTATTGTAAATCTAGATACAATCCTTCATTGTGTTCTAGTTTTAAAAGTTATTTAATAAAGAAATAAATGTCTTATAACTACTGTACTTACTTTCTCAGAAGACAAGCTTGTTTGCCTTTTCCAGAACCTCCAAATTTAATCATATCTTGACAAGCATTACATTTACCACAGTCTGGAAGTTGACAAGCCTAAATATTTTTAAAGAATGTCCAAACTGATTTAAAATAGCAATATTTATAGCAAAAAATAACATATTCATGTCTTTATTATAATTAAATATTAAATAAAATATTTAAATAGTTTTAGAAATAACCAAAATTAATTTGTATAAGCAAATAAAAATTAAAAAAAATTTTTCTTATATAAAGAAAAAGACAAAATTATAAACTGATAAATTTATTTTGCTTTATGCCCAGCAGTTTCCATTTTCACACTGCCACCATGGACTTGGAAGCTCTTCTGGATAAAGAGTACCAAATCTCAGTTAGCAGACTGCCAAAAGAATTTCAAAAAATGAAAATTTCACATGCTCTTTGAGAACAGCTCTTATCAGCATTCAAGTTCTGGACTAAAACTTGTTTGAATGCTTTTCTTTTGTGAATATTTTAGAAACGCTTATAAACTTGAAATAATTATATAATAGTATGAAAATAAAGTTTTAACATTTAAGCAATAAAAATTTTATTAAAATGTATATTAAATACCTCACAAACCCCACAGCGTTTTCTTCTTGGAGTAGAATGACTTTTTGTGTCTTTATCAAGTTGTTGCTGAAAGAAATTCTCAAATATACTTCTTACTAATGGAGTAGTAGTGGCTAATGAATGACCAAATTTTTTGACTTTTATATGACTAACTTCTGACCGTCTTATTGCTCGCCTAGTTTAATTTAAAATATACATATGTATATTCAATAAAATTAAACATTATTATTTATCAATAAAACAAAATTTATAAGAAAATATATATACCTTTTCCCCAAAGTTACACCAGCTAATTTAATCAAGGCTCTCATGCAAGGTGTAACAATAAGCAATGCTTCATCAGCATCTGCACAAGAATCATAACTTTGAACCTGATCAACAATAAATTGTGAATGACGTAAAAGCGAATCTTCTGTGAAACTAGTAAGACCCTGAGGTGGCACTGTAGTCTGAAATTACATTTATATATATTTTATATTGGTACATAAAATAATTTGTACATTGCATTTTGTAAATAAATTAAAAATTACTTGAATTTTATTTAGTAGATCTTCATATGTAGCATCTTGATTATTTGCTAAAAATTCAATAATTGTTTTACTTAAATGGATTTTTTCTTTCATGGCATTCATAAAGGGAACATATGCTTCACTTGGTGCCATTAATACATATTCAGCATAAGCTGAAATTAAAACAATGTACAGTATTTTAAGCATAAGTTTTTAATGATACAAAATAATAATAATAATAAATAATATCATTAGTATAATTTCTGAATTATATTTTATTAAAAAATTTGACATTATTTAAATCCAAACTTTTTGTGAATAATTAAAAATAAAATTATTGGCAAGATTAGAATAAATATATGAAATGTTCTTTAGAAAACATAATCGTGTATCTATTTAAAAAGCTTCTGAATATTTATTATAAAAATTCAATTTTCAAATAACTTTTTACCTGTAGAAAATCCTATTAAAGGACGTTCTCCTCCATCAAATCCTGCTAACCACCATTCATTGATTGGTCCCATGGCACGTGCTGGTACACCACCTATAAAAATTTTGAAATCAAAAATAATTTAGTTATAAGCATATAATATTCATTTAAAAGTTTTCTCCAAAATTTTATAAATGCAAATGAAATTATTTGCATTTAGTTTATATGTTTATATGTTAAATTTTATATTTTTACATGCAAAAATTAATTTTTTTTACTATATTTCTACTAAAAAAAACCACATACAAACATAAAATAAAGCAAATTTATTATTTAAATGTCTACTAGGACATATTATACTGGTGTCCAAGTCCTGTTTTATGTTGTTATTTTTATGCTGTTGTTATTTTGATTTTATTAGCGACCAAAATAATGTAATTCATTTTAATAGTATTATTGTAAACCTTATTTAAATTTTGTTTTTAGCACAAGGTGATGGTAAACCTGATGATGA